TCCAGAGCGGCCGTTTTCTCCAGGTGACCTGATCTCTGTCGCCCGGAGACCAGTTGTCATCCCAGGAGACCTCCAGCCAGGGGTCAATTCCTGCGGAAGCGAACAGGAGCGGAGCGCCGGCAGTAAGGAGCCCAGGGGGCGGGCACATGCAACAAGCCCCGCCCCCTGCTCCCAGCAGCCCTCAGTCGGGCCACGAGGAGCAAGAAGCAGCCAGGTAAGTTGCAGAGCCCCCCTTCAGCCCGCCTTCAGGAACAAGCTCTCCCTCCTCTGTGACGGCAGATCTACACATCCCCACCCCCCCCGATAGCTAGCAATCCAAAACAGTCCAGTGGCACCTTTAAGACCGAGTTTTATTCAGGTACAAGCTCTCCCTCCTCTGTGAGGGCAGATCTGCATGCCCCCCCCAATAGCTAGCAATCCAAAACAGTCCAGTGGAGCCTGAGCGGTGGGTGTTGCCTTCTGACACACTTCCAGTGGTGTCAGGGGGTGTGGCCTATGCAAATGAGTTATGCTAATGAGCTCCTGCACCTCTTTGTCTACGAAATGACCCCTGCCTCCAGCCACCACCTGGAGACTGCAAACAGATCAACAGAATAATTCGTCACGCTGTACAAATAACACTAGAGACTTCCGTCTTTTTATACAGTTCTAATTGCAATTATAAATTGTAATTACAACTGTTTACATTGTTTATATATTGTAATTAGAACTGTATAAGAAGGTGGAAGTCTCTGGTGTTGTTTGTACAACTATAAATTGTAATTAGAACGGTTTATATTGTTTATCTATTGTAACTAGAGCTGTATAAGAAGTCAGATGTCTCTAGTGTTATCTGCACAGCGTGATGGATTATTCTGCTGATTTGTTTGCATAACACCAGTTTGGCGTAGTGGTTAAGTGCGCATACTCTAATCTGGGAGAACCGGGTTCGATTCCCCACTCCTCCACTTGTACCTGCTGGATGACCTTGAGCAAGCCATAGTTCTCTCAGAGCTGTTCTTGGAAAAAGAGCAGTTTCTGTCAGAGCTCTCTCAGGCCCACCAACCTCACAGGGTGTCTGTTGAGGGGAGGGGAAGGGAAAGGAGTTTGTTAGCCGCTCTGAGACACCTTTGGGTAGTGAAGGGTGGGCTATAAATCCAATCTCTTCTCTTCTTCTATCTGTATTCGCTGTGTTTCCATTTCTGTGTGGTTGTTTGTACCACCTGGAGGCTCGCGACTTTATTGTCACCCCGCCCCAAACGCTGCACTCGTCTGGCATCCCTGGGGTTCTTATCGGACCCTACTGCTGGAGAATCAGGGGGCCCAGAAGGCCTTTTACCAACTTTGACTGGTCAGCCAACGGCAGCTCTTCATGGGCGGGATCTGGCCCCTGTGGGGGGGGCACGCCTTCCTCCCCCTTCCCTACGCAGGAGAAATGAACCCAGGAGTTTTCCTGGCTCAGAGGATCTCTGTTGAAACGTGGAAAAAAAAAAGGGTTTGGAACCAGACGTGGAGAAACCCAAACCACAGACGGGTGGGCGGAAGGAACGGGACATACCAGCTGGGACTCAGGCCTGGGTCCCAGATGTTACTCCGAGGGGGGAGGGGACCTTGCTGCCCATATAATGGGAAACAGGGATTTTCCCACTCAGAGAGCAGGGTGTGGTCCTGCCCTGTCTCCCCCTCCCCCCAATATTTTGGTAGGCATTTTTGGGGTGGGGCTCATGGGGTCCTTTCTGTGGGAGCGCACAGGAGCGGAGCTCCGGCAGTAAAGAGCCCAGGGGGCGGGCACATGCAACAAGCCCCACCCCCTGCTCCCAGCAGCCCTCAGTCAGAGCAAGAAGCAGCCAGGTAAGTTGCAGAGCGCCCCCCTGTTCAGTGGCACCTTTATTCAGGTACAAGCTCTCCCTCCTCTGCGAGGACAATAGACAATACTGGCCTGGGTGGACCGAGGGTGATTCAGTATAAGGCAGGTTCATGGGGTCACATCTTTTTATTTGCCATCAAGTCACAGCCGACTTATGGCAGCCCTGCAGGGTTTTGAACGCAAGGGACATTCAGAAGTGGTTTGACATGGCCTGCCCATGCGTCACGACCCTGGTCTTCCTCGGCGGTCTCCCATTCCAGTACTAACCCGGGCCAACCCTGCTTAGCTTCTGCAATCTGGCGAGATCCGGCTAGCCCGGGCTATCTAGGTCAAGCCCTTTTTTGTCGTTGCTGCGCATTTGTGGGTATTTCGAAAAGTATTTGGGGGAAGTGTTTTGCCAACTTTGGAGAAGTCGTTGGAGGGTCTGAGCTGGTGAAATGCGTGGGGGCTAAGAATGTGCCGCACGAGTTGGGAAGTCCCAAACTCTCGTCTGGCTTGATTCTTGGACAATCCCCTTTCTCGATTCTTGGACAGCCATGCAGGGTTGTCATGAAATGTTGCTGAAATGACACAAATGTGGTGCTTTGAATATTTGGAAGCAGGGCTTTTTTTGTAGAAAGAGCCCAGCAGGAACTCATTAGCATAATAGGCCACACCCAGAAGCAGAAAACATTAGCACATTAGGCCACACCCCTGACTGCACCACTCATTAGCATATTAAGCCACATTCCCATGGTACCAGAAGTTTGGTTATCCAGCCACACCCACCTTTTGCTTCTTATTCTGTTTACCTTGTTTGTGGTCAAAACCCAGGGCCTTTTTTTGTAGCAGGAACTCCTTTGCATGTTTGGCCACACACCCCTAATGTAGCCAATCCTAATGAGTTCCTGCTGTTGGGTGTCGCCTATTATGCTAATGAGTTTCTGCTGGGTGTGGCCAACTTGGGAGCCAGCCGGAACTCCGTTCCTGCCCCAAAATAGCCCTCTTTGGAAGTGATGGATAAATGCGAAGAGGATAATAGGGCTGGGTAGTTGGAACGCAATTACGAATATCTGCAATGTAAACTTAAAATTGGTCTCGTTTCTTTAACGGTCGTGGCTGCCCTCTACGAGTCCTGGGGAATATTAGCTGCTAGAGAACGGTCCTCCTTCTTCCAGAACTACAGATCCCAGGGTTCCCTGGGGAGGGCGAACAGCTGTTAATTTTAGCTCTATAGTTTAGACAGGTTTCTTCACTGTGACCAAGTTTTCGCTAACATCTTCCAGACGGAACAGGGTTACAGAACGGCCGTTTGCCTTGTGTGGGAAGCTTTTGGAGCCGGTTCAGAGAGCTTTGCCCGGCAGGCATCCTGGCAAACTGTAATACATCTGAATTCTGTCATCCCAGTAGACGTCTTTGCCGGACTGGCACTCTGCCTTTTGTTTGAAACCAGCGGGAGAGAAGGGCTCTGCTAGTTATGCGTCAGAAGTCCACAGGTCTAGGTCCATACTGCCAGCTCTGGGGTAAATTCTCTGGGCGGCTTTCGGCGAGTGACAGGCCTCGGTCTTCCTTCCTGATCTGTGAAATGGGAAGAAGATGAATAACTTTGACTGAAGACGTTGGGAGGGTTCTTGAGGGAAAGACTGAGGCCACCGGTATAGCCTAGAGCAGGGGTCCCCAATCCTTTTTTTAATTATTATTATTTTCTCAAAAAAAAGGTGGGATACAGAAGGGAAGAAGGTGTAGGGGGGAAATATAGATTTATCAAGTTTGTCAAATATTATGAGTTGTTACCTACAACAAGTAAAATCAGTTGTATTACTAAAAGTATCACATAAATGTACATCTAGTTAACATCCACCAAATGCCCTCTGGAACAGAACAGTTTTAACAGATCTCCAGAAGGTCCATGATGGGTATCCTGGTGCAGGGAATTCTGGGGGCCACAGCTGGGAAAGCACTACCACGCATCCCCAGTCGGCATGGGTTTGTGGAGGAAGGCAGTGGCAATTTATGGGTGGAAGAATTTATAACTGTTGTCATGAACAGATCACCGTCTGGCAAGATACAGACTACTGGAGCCCTGGAACTTCTGCAAGGACAGGGTATGACATAGAAGGTCATCCAAGAGACTGATCTTGGATCACGGGCAGGGTCCTAAGTACCCAGGTCCTAAGCCAGTTATAGTGTAATCCAAAGCAGAATCAATGGACAATAAAACATCAATATTACAGAATTTTGGGATACAGAATTTTTGAGCCAGTGGGGACCGCCTTTGGAATTTGGACACATTATGGTGGGCACAGCCATAGGGTTGCCAGTTCTGATTGACAGGGGGGGTTGGGGGGGCATTCCAAGAGTGGATGGGGACGCCGCACAACATACGTATGTCACCCAGCAGTGATGTAGGTACACCAGTGATGTTGAGGAACTCTGTGGTAGAATTGCCCTCAAACCATAGAGTTTTGCCCAAAAACTAGGGCGTCAACCCCCACCCCCACATCACGGACGCACCTACATCACTATTTAGGGGTGGGAGGGGGGAATTTCCTCTCGCTGGCCAGCTGGCCACCGGTGGGTAGGAGCCCACAAAAACGTGGAATGGTAACCCTACACAGCCACGAAATGGCCGCTATGGGAGCCGTAGCCAGCCACAAAATGGCTGCCACAGCCTACCTTCATTCACACGGTGAAGATCTTTGTGTTGTGGCGGCCGCTGCTGCCAAAACCACATTTAAAAAAATCTGCACAGCCAATCCAATCTCCAGCGGCCAGTCAGAAGGCCCACCTGCCCCCAGACACTTTCTAAAAACACTTGGTGGGTGCTGGGAAAAGTGGCGGTGGGCACTGTGGTCTTGGGGACCCCCTGGTCTAGAAGCAAATAAGGGTTAGACCTGAAACTGGGATATAAATGCCAGTCTCCACTCAACCTTGGATTCAACTGTAGCCCTCGGAGATCAAAAACTCTTCCATCTTCAGTCCCATCCCCCCCCCCCCCAATCAGGACTCTTAATTATCTGAGGCGTCTTTTGTCCCAATTTGGGCACCAAATTGCGTAAAAATCACTCTGAATCGTCAAGGGCCGTGGAAGCGATCACAAGAATGACTCTGTACGGTATTATTGGCGTTGGGAAGGATCCGTGAATAATGCCGCCTTGCTTTTGTTCCGCCTCAGGTCTGAACCGCAGCAGCACCTTCTCGTGTGAGGCCTACAACGCTAAGGGAATGAGCACCTCGCGGACAGCCACGGTGACAGGTGAGAGGTGGCAGTAATGTTTGTGAACGTTCCTATGGAGAGCACGGGGACCCGTCTGGCGGTGTCCTGAGCACGGCTGCTTTGTCCACACCAAGGAGGACCTAAAAATCCCCCACAGGTTTAACTGAAACAAATGATACGCTGGAAGAATAAGGGTTGCCAGCTCTGGGTAGGGAAGTATCTGGAGATTTTTTGGGGGGTGGAGCCTGGGGAGGAGTGGAGCCTGGGGAGGGGAGGGGCCTTAGTATGGTATAAAGCCATATAGTCCACCCCCCCAAAGCAGCCATTTTCTCCAGGGGAATTGATCTTGGCTGCCTGGAGATCAACTGTGATAGTGGGAGATCTCCAGGTAGCACCTGTACGTTAGCAACCCTATATATAGAAGATACATAATTGGATCACGAGCACACTTCCCCTCTGTAAATAGGAGTTCTGGAAGGTTCTGGTTGAGCTTGGGACTGTGGCGTGGGGTCAGTTTCCCCCCCAACTTCGAATGCCTCCCCACAGCAGTGCTGTTTGCAGCCCCGTAGCTAGGGAATTTTTGGGAGGGGGCCTCAGGTGGGGCGCCAGCTAATTAAATCAAAGCACAATGCAGATGGCAGGTTGGGGCACTTTGGGGGTGGCCCGGGAAGGAGGGGGCCCAGAAGAAAGACTAGGGGGCCGGGCCCCATGGGCCCCACGGTAGCTACGGGCCAGGCTGTTTGCCCCATTGAAGGAAAGGGTTCCATACCGGTAATGAGAGCCGGAATGGTGTAGTGGTTAAAGTGTCGGACTAAGATCTGGGAGACAGAGGTTCGAATCCCTACGTGCTGTGGAAGCTCACTGGGTGACCTTGGGCCGGTAACGCTCCCTCAACCTCACCTACCTCGCAGGGTTGTTGCTGTGAGGTTAAAACGAAAGAGAGGAGAAGGACGTCGGCCATATTGGGCCCCCGCTGGTGCGAAAGATGGGGTACAAATGAAGTAGGTAATAATAATAAATAAAATACATAGCTCCCCATGGCCCCATTGGAGGAAGCATATAGGCTCCATCAGGGCTTTTTTTGTAGAAAAAGCCCAGCAGGAACGTATTAGCATAACAGGCCACACCCAACAGCAGGAACTCATTAGCATATCAGGCCACACCCTGATGTTACTGCTCATTAGCATATTAGGCCACACCCCCATGTTACCAGAAGTGTGGTCATCCAGCCACACCCACCTTTCGCTTCTTATTCTGTTTACCTTGTCTGTTGTCGAAACCCAGGGCCTTTTTTGTAGCAGGAACTCCTTTGCATGTTAGGCCACACACCCCTAATGTAGCCAATCCTAATGAGTGTCTGCTGTTGGGTGTGGCCTATTATGCTAATGAGTTCCTGCTGGGCGTGGCCGACTTGGGAGCCAGCCGGAACTCCGTTCCTGTGCGTTCCTGCCTAAAAATAGCCCTGGGCTCCATACTGGAAACCTGCATGTTTCCCCCCAAATGGGGCAAACAGAAAAATTGACATCTCTCTGCCAGTCACATGCATCACAGCCATCATCCAAAGGAGGTCTCCCGCTGCTGTTCTTTGCAAAGGAAAAGTGTCAAAGGCAGAATCCAGTCTTGGATAAGAACATAAGAACATCAGAAGAGCCCTGCTGGGTCAGACCAGTGGTCCATCTAGTCCGGCATCCTGTCTCACACAGCGGCTAACCAGTTCCTCTAGAGGGCCAACAGCAGGGCAGAGAGGCTGAGGCCTTCATAGGAACCTCAGAAGAGCCCTGCTGGGTCAGACCAGTGAGGGTCCATTGGCCATTGAGGTGAGTGTTACCGGGGGTGGGGCTGGAGCTAGTTCTGGTATTATTGGTGAACTCCTTCAGAATTCCTGTCCCTTCACATCCCAGAATTGTAAGAACATAAGAAGAGCCCTGCTTGGTCAGACCAATAGTCCATCTAGTCCAGCCTCCTGTCTCACACAGGGTCCAGCCAGTTCCTCTGGATGGCCAACAGCAAGGCAGAGAGGCCGAGGCCTTCCTCTGATAAGAACACCAGAAGAATCCTGCTGGGATCAGAGGTCTCCCGCTGCTGTCCTTTGCAAAGGAAAAGTACCAAAGGCAGAATCTGATCTCAGTGAAGAACATAACAACATGAGCCCTGCTGGATCAGACCAGCGGTCCGTCTGGTCCAGCTTCCCATCTCACACAGTGGCCAGCCAGTTCCTCCGGAGAGCGATGCTCCCTCTAAGCCGTGGAGTCTTGTGAGCAAAAATCCTACTTTGCGAGCTGCTGGCATTAAACTTGTGAGCGAGCGATTTGGCCACTGCCTAAATCAGTTTGCCCTGGAGCCATCCTCCCTGAGCGAAGACAAAAATGTGTGGGCCGGAGGCTAAAAAACTGAGGGCTAGCTCACACTCACTCAGCTTGGAGGAAACACTGCCGGAGAGCCAACAACGGGGCGCAGAGGCCGAGGCCTTCCCCTGTTATCGCCTCCTGGCTCTGGAATCCAGAGGCTTCATGCCCCTGAATGTGAAAATTCCCCTCAGCCAGCACGGCTAGTAGCCATGGATAGACTCGGGCAGCTCTTAACCAAGTGTTTTCAACTTTATTAACAAGAACGATCCAACACGAAAAAAACCATAGGCGCTTAGAGCTCCTTTTATACATCCCGGGCTGGGAAGGCCACGCCCAGTGAAACGGTAAGCACCGATCATATTTACCGGATAACAACCAATGGGATTTGTTCCTTCCAAGTATGCTGCTTTGCTTGGATTGGTCTGCTGTTGGGAGCAGCCAATAGGAATGTGCAGCTCAGACTGAAGCTCAGCAGGCAAGTCCATTGTCCCATATATGCAGGGCTATTTTGGGGCAGGAACGCACAGGAACGGAGTTCCGGCTGGCTCCCGAGTTGGCCACGCCCGGCAGGAACTCATTAGCATAATAGGCCACACCCAACAGCAGGAACTCATTAGGATTGGCTACAATAGGGGTGTGTGGCCTAACATGCAAAGGAGTTCCTGCTACAAAAAAAAGCCCTGGACCGTTTTGACAACAGACAAGGTAAACAGAATAAGAAGCGAAAGGTGGGTGTGGCTGGATGACCAGACTTCTGATAACATGGAGGTGCGGCCTAATGTGCTAATGAACTGTGCTGTCAGGGGTGTGGCCTAATCGGCTAATGAGTTTCTGCTGTTGGGTGTGGCCTATTATGCTAATGAGCACTGTTCCCTGTAAGCTGAGTTAGTGTGAACTAGCTCACAGTTTTTTAGACTCCAGCTCACACATTTTTGTCTTAGCTCAGGAAGGATGGCTCCAGAGCAAACTACGTAATTTATGCAGTAGCCAAATTGCTCGCTCACAACTTTAATGCGAGTAGCTCACAAAGTAGAATTTTTGCTCACAAGACTCCACAGCTTAGAGGGAACATTGCTAATGAGTTCCTGCCGGGCTTTTTCTACAAAAAGAGCCCTGCATGCATGACACTTATCCTCCGTGAATCCATCTAATCCCCCTTTAAAGCTTTTAAAGATCTTCCAGCGTCTCTTCTAGCGAGGGCCTGTGACGTCTACGTGGTCCGGACGTATCTCTCACCACTGCTCTTTCCACCTCCCCTCAGTCGTACCCGGACGGCCGCATGCCTTAACCCTGGTGCGCCCCACGGACAACAGCCTGGAAGTGGCGTGGCAGCCCAGCCCGAGCGGAGCCTACCCGCTGGAGGTCTGCACCGTCCAGGTAAGAAGAACTGCGGGCGGCACGCGCCCAGCAGGAGTTCGGAGGGCAGCCAGCCCTGGATCGGTGCCGAGTCTCTCTGGAGAAGGCGCTCTCTCGCTTCCTATCGCAGAAGAGTGGTTTTTTATTTTTAGGAACCGTTTCCTGTCCTGCTTCTGCTTAATTCGGACATCCGCTTCCCACCACCAAGAATGTGATGTGTCTCTCCCCCCACAAGTGGTGTTGATGTCCCCCCCCCCCCCCCCCCCCGCAATCACCAGGGGATGGGGAACTGAAAAAGCCTGAGCAAGGAGTCGGGAGCACTGAGAAACAAAACTGAGAGCAGAGAGGGAATTTCCAACCGGCTCTCGCAGTCACTGTCACTCCAAGACATCTGTAATTAGGACCCCCCCCCCAATGCCAAGGAAAGGTTTTCCAAGCTTTTCCCCACACAGATGCTTGAAATGGTACCTATATTTGGTGTCGAGGTTAAGTGCGCGGACTGTAATCTGGGAGAACCGGGGTTCGATTCCCCACTCCTCCACTTGCACCTGCTGATGTGACCTTGGGCAAGCCGTAGTTCTGATAAGAGCTGTTCTTGAAAAAGAGCAGTTTCTGTCAGAGCTCTCTCAGCCCCAACTACCTCACAGGGTGTCTGTTGTGGGGAGGGGAAGGGAAAGGAGATGGTAAGCCGCTCTGAGACTCCCTTGGGTAGTGAAGGGCGGGGTATAAATCCAATCTCTTCTCTTCTTCTATATCCCCCTCCCCATGGATCCAACAACGGCTTCTTCCTCTTTAGCCAGTTTGTTGCAGTGGTAAAGCGCGGTGGGCTCTAATCGGGGAGAACCGGGTTCGATTCCCCCACTCCTCCACATGCAGCTGCTGGGGTGACCTGGGGTCAGTCGTACGCTCTCTCAGAGCTGTTCTCTCCAGGGCAGTCCACGAGAGAGCTCTTTCAGCCCCCACCAACCTCACAGGGTGTCTGTTGTGGGGAGGGGAAGGGAAAGGAGGCCGTAAACCGCTCTGAGTCTCCTTCGGGCAGTGAAGGGCGGGGTATAAATCCGATCTCTTCTTCTTAGAGAGAGAGCCATCGTATGGTGACCCTCGTAGGGTTTTCAAGGCAAGAGAGGAACAGGGGTGGTTTGCCATTGCCTGCCTCTGCCTAGTGTCCCCCATCTTCCTTGGTGGTCTCCTATCCAAGTACTAATCTGGGTTTGACTCTGCTTAGTTTCCAAGAGCTGATGAGATCCTGGGCCATCCACGTCACACCTGAGACAAACAGAGGCGGCTTTCCTTTGTCTGCCTCTGGGCTTCCTTGGAGGTCTCCCATCCAAATACTAACCAGGGCCGACCCCGCTTAGCTTCCAAGATCTGACAAGGTCAAGCCAGCTTGGGTCACCCAAGTCAGGACATAATCATTGTGTGCCGTCAAGTCAACAGCCAACTTACGGTGACCCTGTAGGGTTTTCGAGGCAAGAGACATTCATTTTTTTTTTATAAATGAATTTATTTTGAGTTTTCCAACTTTACATATAATCACGTTACAATTTCATACATTGGGGGGTTAAATCAACCTCTTTCTTCGTACCATTTTATGGCTTTTTGCCATTTCAAGTTAAATTGTTCTTCTGTTTTACCCGCCAAAAACATATTAAGCTTGTCCATCTCAGTCACTTCATAAAGAATATTGGTCAAATCATCCTTACTCGGTAATTTGTCAGATTTCCAATTTTTAGCAATAGAAATCCTGGACATTGTAATAACATATACAACAATACATTTCTCATTGAATTTTAGCCCGTCAGGTGTAACGTTCAATAGAAAGAGCTCTGGTGTCAACGCTAAGTCTTTACCTATAATTTCTTTTAACATCTGTTTAACGGTTTTCCAAAAATTTTGTATTTTTTTGCATTTCCACCATATGTGGAAATACGTTCCGACATTAAGTTTGCATCTCCAACAGGATCCCGAAACATTAGTGTACCATTTTTGCAACTTATCTGGCGTCCAGTGCCACCTATATATCATTTTTATTATGTTTTCTTTATAGGAGGTTGCTCTCAATAACTTAATTGATTTCCAGGTTTTTATCCATTCCGCTTCGTCTATGTTTCGACCTAGATCTTTTTCCCAACTAATCATTGTCGGTTTTTTCAACTCCTCTTTTAATTCTTCTTCTAATAGGAAGTTGTAGATTTTTTGGATCAATTTATCTTTCCCTTTCAACCATAACTTGTCTAATTGCGTATCTGTGTTATAAAAGTCTATTTTTTTATCTTTTGTGAATCTTGAATTTAGTTGATTCCTTTCCCATATTGTTAGGTTTATACTCATTGCTTGTAATTCTTGCCAAGATTTCAATCGATTTTCTTCGTCCAAGAAGGTCTGGTAGGTTCTTGTGTTATGCTCATTTGTTAGGGTTGGGATTACGAAAGCCTCCAAGGGTGCCACCCATTTTGGTATTTTCTTATAATGTTGTTCTTTTATTTTATTCCATATTTTCATTAATGGACCTCTTATTTTGCAGATCATGTCCTTCTAGCTTAAGTAATCTTTTATTTTCCAGTAGGACCCAGTCCCGGACCCAAGTCAATGCAGCTGCTTGGTAGTACATATTCCAATCTGGGAGACTGAGTCCTCCTTTGGTTTTTTTCTCTTTCAGAATTTTTAGTTTGATTCTGGATTTTTTCCCCTGCCATATGAACTTCCTGGTCATCTTGTTTAACTCTTCGAAAAATTTATTGTTTTTTAGAATCGGAATACATTGAGCTATATATAATATTTTTGGCAATACGTTCATTTTTATTGTTGATATTCTACCCATAAAGGATATTTTTAGGTCTTGCCATCTTATTAGGTCCTTTTGAGTCTCTTCCAGTATTACCTTATAGTTGTTTTCGTATAAGTTGTTGTTGTTATTTGAGATGTTTATACCTAGGTATTTGATTTTCCTGACAATTTCTACATTTGTATTTTCCTGTAGTTCTTTTATTTCTTCCTTATTACAATTCTTTGTTAAGATTTTTGTCTTATTTATATTTATTTTGAGGCCCGCTACTGCACCATAGTCCCGTATTATTTTGAGCAGGTTTTTTATCGATGAGTTTGGATCTT